TCGCTGGCGATTTTTGTGGAAGTACTTTTATTGACAAAAAGTTTCTTGAATTGATGGATTCAATTGCTGGAGAATCCGCGATGAAAAAACTTAGAGATAATAATTATGGTGAATTACAATATCTTGTTAGAGAATTTTGTGAACAGATCAAGTTTCAGTTTACGGGTGATGATCCTGATTTTCATTATGAAATTGACCTTGAAAGGTATTTTATTTTGATTTTTTTCCTTTTCACATGCTGTTATAGTAATAATGATTATCTGTTACATTACTTTTTATCAGTACATGCCCTGCTCTAAAAAAATACGTGACTGGCGATGAGTTAGAAGAATTAGAAAGAGATCAATGGGAAATTGATATTACGTTTGATTCTATCAAAGCCATGTTCGACCCAATCATTGATAGAATTATTCGAATGATTCAAGCTCAACTTTATAACGCTTTAACTTCTAGTTTTGGCATAGCTCGAACTAGAAAAGCTCGTCGTTCTATCCTTGCCAATAAGTGTTCCGCCATATTTTTGGTTGGAGGATTTAGTCAATCAAAGTATTTGCTAAATAGAATTAAAAAAGAGTTCACAGATAGTGTCGAGAATATTTCTGTACCAACTCAACCTGCCGCTGCAATATGTAGGGGCGCAGCCATGTATGGCATTAGCATGAATAATGCTAATGTTGATCCAAATTTAGCGACCGCGAAATTTATCATCGGTACTCGAGTATTGAAATACACATATGGTGTTAGAGTTTCTGGTGTATGGGCTGAAAGTGATCCACCACACAGAAAACTTCGCAGCGGAAGAATTCATAGATTTAGTCGTCTAGCAAAACGAGGTGTTGAAGTTAAAATTGATCAAGAATTTACAGGAACGTATTTACCAGTTGAACCAGATAGTAGCAGTCTAGTTTTTTACATTTTTATTACTGAGAATATCGATGGTAAATACTGTGACGAAGATGGAATGAAATTATTGGGATCGCTTAGAATTGATCTTCCTGATCTTCATCTTGGGACTGAACGACCAGTCCAATTCTCTCTGATGTTTGGTAAGATGGAAATTACTGCATCTGCAAAAAATATGATAAATGGCCAAAGTTATCATTCTAAATTTGAACTTTCTCTAAAATAGTTTTTTATTGTATCAATAATGATGTAAATTTATGATAATAACATGTTTTATATTAGTATTAATTTACTGGTTTTAGTGAAATAGTTATTTCAATTTAACTACTATAAATCTGTTGCATTTGGAATAGTTATCTATCTAAAATAGCCACCATTAGTCGAAGGGTAAATCATATAACAATCAAATTTTCTGATTTAAAACCAATATGTATCCGATTGATATTTATTTTTAAATTTAACAATTTCGGATTTATACCAATTTGTGGAGCAAAATACAATCAGAATAAAAAGTGTAACAGGTTGGTATGCATCGGGAAATTCTGCGATTTGGCCAGAACCATATACAGTCGACTGTGAATACAAAAAAACAACCATATATATATAAATGTTAGAACATGATCAAATCGTTATATATAAGATGGTCAATTTTAATACTGGTCAACTCATTTTTGGAAAATTATAAATTTTAATCAATTTAAAACCTCAATATAGATCGCAAAATTATGTATATGTCAAATATAATAATATCACATTAATTATATGGATTGAAAAATGATGCGTACTGTAAAATCTCGAGATAACTATTTCAAGATTTTACAAAATGTAGATTGTATAGCTGTATTCTTCAATCATTGATAAATCTAATGTTGAGTTTCTGGAAACTTTTCTGAAGGTCCCTTATAATATATTTGTTCCTTTAACTTTTCTATTCCAATTTTGGCAGTTCGTTGCGATTCATCAAGTCTTCCACCAGATGAGGTTAATTGGATAAGGCTGGTTAGAGTGCGGTTTCTAAAATGTCATGTATACGTTTGAATAATTAAATTTCGACAAACACGAAATTGATGTTTTTATACGCGAAGACGTGACTTAACATTGCATCTATAGCGTGAAGTATGCCCTGAAGTTCATATAGGACTTGTGTTTCGTGATCATTAACGGATACCAATGTCATTGTTGAGAACTTTTACTTAATATCTGAATATTCAATTTTGTATATTGCACGGACTAAAATAGATTGTCGCGGATTAGAAATGTAAGTACTGATTTAATTTCATGCCCCTAAATTTGATGAGGCATGAAATTGAATATTGCACACGATTGGTCATATGCGTCGACATGTGACAATTAGCCAATAAAAGTATACTGTACTTGTAAAATTAGTTAACTGCGCGACATAGTCGAGATAAAACCAGCTTTACTTAGGATGTTCAATTATGATATATATGAAAATAAAAGAATGAAAGAAATATTTTGCGGTTGTGCCGTTTTTTTTTTTGTCAGCTTACCGCTTTGTAAACTAAACATTTTAATTAAAATACACCTAGTGTTCCGCAAACGGGTACCCCGAATTGGAATGTTTAACATTCAGCTGTCAAGCAATTGGGTAATGATAGAATGTAACTTAAGAGGTAAATCGTGGTTAAAGGGTATAAAAATAGCGAATTTAATAGTAAAAATTACCGGAAGTTGATATGGTTT